TTTGAATATTGCTGTGTTATTTCCCATTCTATTAGTATTAAGTTGGGTATCAACTTAAATAAACAAAAATATTTTTGTTTAATGAATGAGTAGAATGAACAAAAAGAATTACTTCTTAGTAATTAAAATGGCATTCACATTAGTAATTACTTTTTAAAAAAGTTTATTTGTTATAAGCCAAGAATAACAGATAATGTAAAACATTATTTACCATGTCCGTATTAAACATAATGATTTGTGTTGATTTTAAGTATGTTTTTAGTATTTGAAAAAAAAAGATTTTTTGTAAGATATTCGATATAATGAACAATTCTTTTTGTAATAATTTAAAAAACAATATAAGAATATCAAGAGTTGTTTTAATTCAATTATCTTTCTTCTTTATTATCTTTATTGAATTTATCCATTCCTCCTCTCTTGAATGATATATCGCTCATTATATTTCTCTGGTGAAATATCTTTCTATTCGTTGTTTTTTTTTTGTTATTCTTCCTTGGTTTTTTCCTTTGTTCTTGTCTTGCTTACCTTTCTTATATTTCTCAGAACTGTTTAGACATTTACTCATGTTATTTTTCCTTTTTTTGTTTATTAATCTCTTCTTTAAATACTTACTGTAACTTCTAAATACAATTTTTATTAATTGTGTTTTATCACTTAAAATTATAACGTCTTTCAACAACCTCAATTCTTCTTGCTCTTCTTCTTTACTTTTTAATGTTTCTTCTTGATTTTGTTTATAAAGATATGTTAAACTCTTTTTTCTTTTCTTCTAACATTATTCCCTTTTCTCTATATTCTTATTCTTTTCTTTATTTTATTACGTCATAAAATCTTCATACTTTTATCATCTAGCACCTTTCTATCATTTACTTCTTTATAGCTTTAAGTTAACTCTTTATTCCACTTTATATTTGACTCTATGATTTTAATTTCTTTTCTTATTTCTTTCATTCACCAACAAATAATCAAGAGACTAATTTGAAAAACAATACTATCATTTAAAAATGAAAGAAATGATATGTGAATTGAATAATTATATGTTCTAATAATTTGAATATTTATATTATTATTCGATGACTATATAAGGTATTTGATATCATTCTAATTATATACACAAATATTGGATATAATAGTTATTTTAAATTATTTATATATGGAGATAGATTATTCACCAATATTATAATGACAACTCCATTCTAGTATATAAATAATGACTATACCAAAAATATATTATTTAACATGATTATTTTTATGTCTCTAAATTCAAACTTGCCTTCATTCTTTATTTATTGACTAATTGAAATAAAATATTAAAGTCAATAACTTGCTATCATTTCTAGTATTTACTTAATATATTTATGTTCTTTTTCATTTATTACATCTTATATTTTGTTACTATTTTATATTTTAATTGGATTGATAAAATAGAATCTTTAAATATATTAAATTTATTTTGGAAGAATAAAAATAAGATTTTTCGTATTTACATGACAAATAGATATAACTATATATGTCTCTAACTATTGTAAATAGAATTACATATACTTTTTAACCCATCGTTATGAAGTTTTATTTTCTAAAGTGCATTTATTTTTGTATTTAATGCCTTTCAAAAAATACAACGTCTTTGATAAGCTAATTCTATAGTCTTTCACTTCTTGTAAATAATACAATCCAATAATATTATTTTAAATTAAAATAATATTAGTTCGATGGCTTATTAATTCATATTAAAAATTATATATTCTTTTCAAAATCAAAAACATAATAAAGTTTTTATTACCACTCAAATTACATTGTATTTATTATAATAAATATACTACTCCTATTAATGAAGTTCTTTTTGAATTATATGACTCACCTTTCTTTATTTTTAATAGAATTAGGTAAATGAAATGGTCAATAGAATAAAATTTCAGTTTAATTTATTTTGAAGGAATATTAAACAACAATAATTTGAGAATTATTGAACTTTATAATTTAGTAAAACATTCAAAAAAAAAGTAAAAATTTTAATGATAAAAAATAAAAACTTAAAAATAAAAAATACATTCATAGTTCAAAGAATGATACATTGGATTGTATTTAGTCTTTTGATTTCTTTTGTTATGGGATCTTCTCCTTCACTAAACCTTACACAGTCAATTGCATTATTAGTTGAAAATACACTCACATCAACGTTATCATTGATTAGTACATTGTTTGTTGCTTATTCAATGGTATATCTTCGATTATTGTCTAAAGGAATATCAAACCAAATGATTTTCTGTTTATTATGTTGTTCATTTGTGAATCAATGTGTTGTTTTAGCGACGTTATTTATTCTTCAAACATCACAAATGGTAGCAGATAATACATGTAAGTTTTTTGCTAGTGTTTTACAATTTACAGACTTAAGTCAATGTTTTTGGATTTTAGCTATTGGAGGACATATTGGTATGTCCTATTTTATCAAAAATAGTTCAATTAAAAAGAATTATTTTGTTTGTTCAAATATATTTGTTTGGGGAACTAGTTTAGTTTTAAGTATTATTCCAGTAAATAATTATGGAAAAAGTGATATTTGGTGTACTACAATAAGTAAATATTGGGATTTCTTTACATTATATATATTTGTTGCAATTGTTGCAATACTTGTTATTATCATTTATGCAGCAATTATTATAAAGATTATTATAACTAACAAAAATATGAAACTACGTTATTTATTTACTTATAACAAAAATGATGATGTTCAATCTTATGAAATGGTTTCATTAGTAAGAAAAATGGCTATATATCCATTTCTTTATATTGTTTGTTGGATTGTTCCATTCTTTAATAGACTATTGCCTTTATTTAAAATAACACCACCTTTCTGGATGGAATATGTCCATTGCTTCACTATTCCTTTATTGGGATTTGTTAATTGTTTATATTATGCTAACGATGTTTCTTTAATTGTACGTTGGAGAAATTATTTTAGAAGTTGGGGAATGTGTTTTACTTGCATTGGTGATGAAGAAGAATTAATCAATGAAGATTAAATTCTTGTTATAGTCCATTTTTATTGGTTTATCTGTCTTTTCAAAGAAAATAATCAACTATGACTTACATAAAATTTAGGTTTTCATCAAGTAGAGTAGTGAATCTACTTATTTCTTCAAGCATGTTTTATTCTTTTTTTAATAAATTTTTTTTCAAACCTTCTCCACTTATCTCATTTTCTTTTCAAATAAGTATAAAAAAACGAAAAAACTAAAAATTTTAATCTTCTTTTCTTATTAAACTCATTATGATACCATTTATACCTAATGAAATTAATTTTCAAAATCTTTATACTATGGTTCTTGAACAATGGTTTGGAGACATGAACACTGTCATTGCTACAGAAAATGAGAATATGGAAATGCTACTTGGAATGTTATTTTCATTATTTGCTGGCATACCATCATTTTTCTTTGTTTGTTTTTAAGAACTTTTGGTGTTTTTCACAACCAAATAAAATAAATAGTTACTAAGACAATAGTTATGGGGTGGAATAACAATTCATGTAAAACTAGGAATGATCATAGGACTATGTACTTATTTGTTTTATTTTTCAATTACCCATGTCATCCAATTATAATTGCCTTTATCATTAAACCAACATCTAAGAATGAAAAACAATAAATTTAATCTTCAGCCTTCATTAAAAATAGTATTATCGTTGAAAAATTGGTTAATTTACTCATAGCCATTGTGGTATTCAATTGTTCTCCATTTTCATCTACTAATCCATATTTTGGTGAATTTACTAAATTAGTATTTGGTAATCCAAACTCAGTACAAATAACATCAATCACTTTACCACAAGTCCAATTTTTATTTATCCATAATGCTTTTCTTTGTTCATTTGGTAGTATAACTTCAAAATATAATCTACAATTGAATGGTACAGTTTTATTTCCAAGAGCATTTTTTAAGATAAATGCCTTCTTTTGGGCACTTAATGTTTGTTTGTTTACAGGTTGAGTTGGGTAACTTTTTTGAGATTTGAAGAGAGAAGATTTTTCTAAAACAAAGTTAGTTAAAGAAAATGGTGATGATTTATTACACGTTTGAGTTTTATGCGTTAAGGCAACACAATGATGGGTTGATTGGTTTCTGTGCTCAACACAATAATTTTTATGACAACCTGCACAAACAATCTCAACAAGCTCTGTTTTCCCACAAAGGTTACAGATAAACCCTTCTTTTTTTGGTTCTAATCTACAATTATTCTCAATATGCTTATTAATAACAACATCAGGAATATCTCCTTTACCTAACTGAATATATTTCTGACAAATAGGACATTGAATAGAACCTTTTTCTTTTTGAAGCTCTTCTCTAGCTTTATCACATTGATGTGTTTTGATACATTTGTTACAAAAAGGGCTATGGCAATAAGAGCATTTGATTGGAAGGAAGTCCATTAAACCACATCCAAGACATTTTGTTCCAATGTCAAGTGTTTCTTGTGAACTACTCATAAACAAATACTTTCTTTTTTTTAAGATTCATTGATTAAATATCATCTATTGAAATATCTCATCACATTATCAATCATTATTCTATTTTTAGAAGTATAGAATAATAATGATGTTTTTCTTTTTTTGAAATGAAAAGGTTCAGATAGTTAAATTATATTCCTGTAAAAAATAAATTATGGCAATCATTGTTTTCTTAAAAACAAATGAAGAGAGCACCAGATTTAATTATTGGTATAAAGAAGTATTTGTTGGAATTTCTGATTTATTAAGATTAGACCTTTCTTTTTCTGCTCAACAGATTCAAGATAATGTTGAAAGAGTTCAGAGGGAATATTCTGGAAAATGTCATGACCTTCAAATCAAAGCAACAGTGCTTGCTCTTGAATCAGTGTTGAGAAATATTATTCGACAACAACTTCTTAGTGATTGTGAAAATTGAAATTATTTTCTAATCAAAATAAATTAATAAATTATTCTTCATCTAAATTTTCAGATGTATCATATTTTTCATAATAGGTCAATATCATTATAATATATTGTTTACTAGTTTCATCTAGCTCAGTTTCATAAAGACGATGTAATGAATTATACAATCCTGTTGTGTCTAATATTTCTATAAAAGGTATATTACTAATGATCATAAAACGAATCATTCTGTATAATCCTAATAATGCTTGTTTGGTTGTTCTAGGATCTCTCTCTTGAAGAATTCTATTTGTAGTTAAGAAGAAAAGAGATTTAGAACATAATTTCTCAAATTGGTCTTGATCACAAACAGAAAAGAAATTACAAAATGCAAGTATTGCCATTGCTTTACAATTAATGTCTTGCTCAGTATTGATACATAACATAACTTGATTCATTAAATCTTTTTTATTAATAATAGAACAAATATTAGGATATTCTGTTGAACATAAATTACCAATAACCCAAAAACAATTTTTTTTTACTGAAGGGTCTTGAATGAACATAGCAACATCTTGCATCCATTTAATGAAATTTAATTCTACAATTTCTTTAGTAAGACTCATGTCCTCTTCCATTCTTAAGCAATTACCAACATATTTGATAAAATATTTTGCTAATAACATTTCTTTTGTTGAAAGAAGATTAGTTGTGCATTTGAGATACCCCTTGAACAAATCCTTGAAAAATTGTGAACATAAAGTTAAAATCTCCTCATCAGACTCTTCAGAACAAATAACAAAACATCCTAGAATATCTGAACACACTTGATAATCAGCACAATCAAATACTAACACCAATAGCGTTAACAAAGATTCCATTTTTTTTATAGTTAATAATGGTTTTGAAATTAATAAACAAACAATTGAAAAAACAACAACTCTCACAGTAGTGATACTAAGTGAATGATTGATTAAACTGGCAAGACGAACAATAAATGTATTGTAACAAACTTGCTTATATGCACCTCCTTCTGAAGCAACATTTCCAACTACCCATGCAATTTGAGATTGAATTTTTTCATCTGAATTATCAAATAACTTTACAAATATTGGAAGAGTTGTTGGAGTAAAAATTTGTTTAGAAAATGCTGAATCAGTACCACTCCAATTAATAAATACAGTCAAAGTGTCATGAACAATATTTTCATCAGGAGAGTCTAATAATTTCATCAAACTTGGCATAACAGGTCTTGGAGAAATATTTCGCAAACAAAACAAAGCATCAATGGTTCTATTTTTTGTTGTAGGGTGTTGCACTTCATAAAGTGCTGCTTGAATATAAGCTTCATTATAAAGGTCTTTAGCTTCTGTGTTTTGTGATGGTTCTTCAATAACTCTTTTTTTATTCAACATTTCTTCTCGCTTTGATTTTCTAAGAGCTTGTTTTTCATTAACAAGAGACATATAAAAACTACGCTGAAGAGATTCACGAAGATTTGTCATTTAACTAAGAAAATAAAATTTAAGTTTAATTTTTTAAATAAAAAAATTGAATTTAGTTTTTAAATTACTCTTCTTTGTCATGAGGACGATAATCAATTGGTATTTCTATTTGTTGACTAGAAACAGAATATGATTTTTGTGGTTTCTCTGTTATTGGAATTGAGTCTATCCATATTCTAGCGATTGTATTCATATCTTTCAAATTTAAAGATTTATCAACATCATATTTCTTCAAATTTCTTCGAGACAAAACATGTTTTTTCAATCGAAAGGAATCAGGCAAATTTGGTTTTGTTACTGGTTTAATTACTGATAAATCAAGAAATAATTGAAGAGAAGGTAATGCCCCTTTTGCTTTCTCCATTAGTTATTGCTTTCTTCGATTTTCTACTGAAATGGTTATGATTAAATAAGAATGTCTTTTCAATCTGTGTTTTTTCATGAGTTTTTTCTTCAAATGAAAAGATTATCTGAAAAATCAAACTGGAAATGAATGATCTAGAAGCGACAATTGTTAATCAAGAACTTCTATCTCATTTTGACGGATATGTCTGTAGTGACACTCGTGGTCTTTGTGTTGAAGCTCAAGGTATTATGCCAACCAAAAGTAGTGGTTTTAGCCAATCAGTAATGAACTGTTCTAAAGAATTAACACAAAGTGATTCTCCAATAATTACTATTGAAGGAACAAATGGAGTTATTATGATCATGCAAAAAGGAGATATAACAATAGCAGCTACTCATAAAAAATAAATAAAAGAAAATAATTGAAGTTAAATATTTGCTTTACTTAATTTTGTTCTGTTGGAACAATATCAACTTTTGATGAAGACCAATCCATTTTAAAGAATATAAAGTATAGTATCAAAAGTAATACAACTAATCCACAAATTAAATAAAAACAATGTCGATAAGTAAATTTTGCTCCAACTACTTTGCTAATTCCTTCAATACTCCTATTTGTTAAATCAACTAAACTTCTCATTTCTATTGCCTATTTCTATTAATTCTCTTTTAAAGTCTTTTAAGTAATACAAACAGTTTCATCAATATTTTTATTACTATCACTAACTTTATCTAAAAGTGTATTTGTTGCATTCTTCAAAGCAGCGCTTTTTCTCTGAAGAATATCTAATTGTTCATCATTTTCATTTATTAAAACTTCTTCATTAGTTATTACTGACATATTCAGAAAAATTCTTATGAGTTTAACTTTTTTTTTTTTTAAATAAATCAGTTTTTTTGTTTTTCTTGAATGAAAAAAAAATTAAAATAAAACAATTTTATTATCTATTCCAACAATTTTAATTGTTTTTTAAAAACAACCACAAATAGTACCAAGAATCAATAAAAAATTTTAGTTTTTGTGTATGAGGAGAAAAGAAAGCCAAAATTGGATGAAAATGTTCACAAAAATCTAGATTCATCAAATCCTTGAATGTCAACGTTTGTGACTTATTACTTCCTTTTCATGTTGTACATCCTAATGGCATAGTATAATATTTAAAAATGATTCTGCTGTGATAAAATATATTAAAATGGCAACAAGCCATAAAAACTATGGACCCACTCCAGAACAGTACAGAAATATTTGTAGACTTACTCATCAATAGTTTGTTTTTATATTTAAAACAAAAGAATAAGAAAGTAATTTTATAGTGAATGTGGATTAGTTTGTGATACCTTATTACAACGACTGGGTGATGATGGAAAATATTGGAGACATATTTATAAGTCATTGTTACTAATTTATTATATAATAATAAATGGAACACCAGAAGCTGTTGAGAGATTCAAAAGAAGGCAAATTGAAATTAAAACACTTCATTCATTCCAAAAAATAAAAGATTCAACTGGACAAGATGTTGGAATTAATGTTAGAGAACGCTCAAAAGCTATTACTGATTTACTTAGTGATGATGAGGCACTTGAAACTAAAAGGAATATGTCAGAAAAAGAAAAACAAAACATATTTGGAGAGGCCTATTCATCTGATTACAAAACGTCTATGACTGAGACTCATGAAACTAGAAAGAAAGTTGAACTAAAATCAATTGTTCTAAAAGAGAATTTATCTGGTGAATCTGAAAGTTCTTCAGAATCATTAGACAAACCAGAAGTATCTCCTCGTTATCAACAAACACATGAAAACGTATTTGATATGTTAGAACAACCGCTCAATGGCAATACAACTACTGTCCCTGAAAAAAAGAGTAATCCCATTTCTCAACAAACAAAAACTGAACCAATTTTAACTTCACAAACTAATACTAGTCAAAATTTAAATATATTTGATTTATTAGGAGGTTGTAGTAGTACTATTACCATTCAACAACCTCAAAATACTCAATCTTATCAACAACAACCTCAAAACATTCAACCTTATCAACAACCTGTTGATCCTTTTGCTTCGTTTGATAATTCTAATATTGCTACACCAATTGTCTTACCGACTCAACAACAACAATCTAAAAGTAATAATGAATTTATTTTTAATGACTCATCATTAAATGAAAAGAAGAGTTGGAAGACAGGTATTGATATTAACTCTCTTACATTGGACTCTCTTCAAGTCAAGTCCAAAGAACAAAAACAAACCCAACCTCAAGTCAAAAAAACATTAGGACAGCTCTAATTAATAATGTATCACTTGAAAATTTTTTTTATTTTTCTCCATAAGAATGAAATAAAAATCAAAGTCTCATAAAATAAAAATACTTCTTTATTTTTTTCGTTTTTCATAAAAACATGAAAAATATGTAATGAATAATAAATACTTGATGTTAATTTTATAAAAAAGTTTATTTTAAGTCTATAGAAATGGATTAAACCAAAAGATGATTTAATAGTTCAAATCTTTATTTTTATAATTTCTTTACGAACTATTTCCAAGACTCACTATTATTATTTTAACTAAAAACCCTATTTTTTACTGAATCAAAGAAAAATTAAAAGAAAAGTAATATTTTAGTTCTTTTATAAATAAAAAGAGATTAATAAAAGAATAGTAAAATTGTAATATATAACTAGTTTTGAACTAATTAAGATGACGATTCGAAAAGTGTCACAAAGAAAAGGAAGTACAATAGACCCAGGTACCAAAATCACATATATCCAGGTATTTAAAACTGAATCTAAAAAAATAAAAAAGAAAATCAATGACAGTGCAACCCAAGCAAGGACATTTATATTTTGTTGCTCAATCACCTGTTATGTCAATTAGTTGGTCATCATTTACTAATGCCCCATTGAGATGTCTTTATACAACATTTACTGATACTATTACATCTCATTTACATATTTTACAATACGTTGTTCAAAGTGATACTATTGCAAAAACTTTATCACCTGCAGTACATGACCTTCCCTTTACACCAACAGCAGCTCATTTTTCACCTAAACCTATTTCTAATAATGATATTTTTGTTACTTCAGGTGATGGATTACGTGTATTTAGTTTATCAAGTTCAAATGACATTAACCTTACTGCTACTATGACTGATCAAAAATATCAACTACCATCTTGTGGATTTGACTGGTGTAATCAAAATCCAGACTTATTGTGTACTTGGTATTTAGATAATACTTGTTGTGTTTGGAATGTAGAAACAAGGCGCCTTGCTTGGTCCATTCCAAGTAAGAAACAAATATTTGATATGAAGTATTGTCCTAATTCTCCTGATGTTTATGGTATTGCCTCAGAACAAGGATTACTCCAATTAAATGATACTCGTACTGAAAGACCTGTTATGTTATTATATCAATCACAAGATGCACCAGACCTTATGAAACTTTCTTGGAGTTCTTCTGATCCTACTAGAATTGCTACATTCAGTTCATATGGTGATAGGGTAGTTGTTATGGATACAAGAAAACCTTTTGAACCAATGACCCAATTAAAAATTGCACAAAATCAAGTCAGTTGTATTGATTGGTCAACATCTTCTGCTAATGAGTTATGTATTGGAACAACTGATAAAAAGGTTATGGTCTGGGTAATTAAACCATCTAGTCAAAACGAAAATTCATTATTAGAGTTCTCTTCTGATGGAGAAGTTAATGATGTATGTTGGTCTAAATCTAATCCAGAATGGATTGGTGCTGCTATGAGTTGTTCAGTCCATTACCTTCATGTGTAATTTGTGCTTTTTTAATAAGAATCTTAGTTTAATATAGTAGCCTGATTTCCATCAGTTTACAAGACTTTAAGTGATTATTCATTTTTATTTCTTTTTGGTTTATTTGAATAAAAACTATTTTATGAAGTTTAGAATATAATACTTTTTATTAATACTTTATAATTTAGATTTAATTCGTTATATATAACAAATAATTTTATAAAAAAAAAGAAAAAGAAGAACAAAGAAGTGTCATGTTTCCTCAACAAAATATAACTGGATTTAATACTGACACTAACCAATTTAATGTTCCAAAAAATCCAATTTCACCTGAAACTACTCTTTTGTTTCAAAATTCTCGAGTGTCACTACAAACTACTTTACCAATACAAGGAAGTCAAACATTAGTTCTGGAAAAAGAGCCAACAGAAATATCATTACTTCATTCATATGATTCTATAGGAACATTACAATCAAGAAACGCTTTAATTAGTGATAAAGAAGTTGTGGATTATATTAGAAGAGGAGAAGTTGTTGGAGAAGGGACATTTGGAAAAGTTTATCAATCATCAATATCAACTCATGAAAAGAATTGTAAATATCAACGAGTTGCTATTAAAGTATTAAAACAACAAAACTTAAGTAAAGAAGAGATGAATCAGTTTATGATGGAAATGAGTATTTTGAGTCAATTAGAACATCCAAATATTGTTGCTTTTTATAAGGCATGTATTAATGTTCCTTTTATGTCTATTTTAACTGAATATATTTCAAATGGTACATTAACTATGTACCTTGATAAATGTCCTATTTCATTATTAAATGGATTATCTATAATGAAACAAATTGCAGAAGGAATGAGATATCTTCATGAACATATTCCAGTAATTTTACATCTTGACCTAAAATCGGATAATATTCTTGTTGGTGAAAATGGAAGTATTAAAATTAGTGATTTTGGTCTTTCTTTCTTTGTTTCAGATAATGAAGTAGGACATAAAACAAGTCGTTTAATAAGAGGGACTCCAGGTTATTGTTCACCAGAAAGTATAGATGTTTCTTTATTTAATAGACTTCCAGTTGATAAAAAGAAAAAATCAGATGTATTTTCTTTTGGAATTGTATTTTGGGAAGTTATTCATGCAGTTTATTGTAAACATTATAATCGTCCTTATTATGAATTTCCAAATCTTCTTCAACAACCATTTGCTTTAATGAATCAAGTCTCTTCTGATAAAATTATATTAAGACCAAAAATACCAGTTCAGTGTGATAGTGATGTTGCTACTTTAATTTCTATGTGTTTTGCTCATCATTATGACTCAAGACCAGATTTTAATGATATCTTAGAAATATTAAATGATTATACAAAGATTCTTCAAGTTAATGAAACACCATTAATAAAACAGTCAATGGAATCAATGACTCCTATGAATAAATTAAATTTTGTAAAAAATCAAAGTGAAACAAGTGAATTAAGACACTTAAAATTAATGGAAAGCGAATTTCTTCATGAAGGAAAGGTATATGTACTGAGAGAGTTTAGATGTTGTTTTATATTATATTATGGTGATTCAACTATAGTTTCAAAAAGGACAGGGTCAATTAAAATATCATCAGAAAGTAATTTTCAATTAACCTTAAGATTTAAGTTTAAAAACGATAACAATATTATTAGAATAGAAGTACCTTGGATGTGTTTTAAAAACCTTGGATGTGTAAATGAAAATAATGAATGGATAGGTATCTTACAATTAATTACTTATCCAAAATGGTCAATTAATGGTATTTCTACTGAAAGACATGATATTTTTGATCAGTTTTCAGTAAATTTTTATACTTTAGAAAATTTACAACAGTTCATCTCTTCTTTAAAAAAAATTTCTTTAAAAACAAAAAATCCAGGAAGGCATATGTTAATGGTTTTATCAAAGTCTAAAGACATTTCTTTTACAAGAGTAAAACCAACTGATTGTAGAAGAAGACTCTTTCAAGATGATTGATTCATTTATTTTGTTTTATATCACGTATTTTTTTTAATTTTGTTTTTAAAAGTTTAAAAAGATTAACATAAAAAATAAATAATAAATAAATTATAATAAATAAGATTTGTTTTTAAAAAAAACC